AGAAAAAAAAAAAAAGCAACAGAAAGTATACAGATTGGAGAAACAAAGGACTTGACTGCCATTGAGTCAACTCTGTCTCACAGCAATCCTATAGGGCAGAATAGAACTGCCCCCTTTGGGCTTGAGGGTATAAATCTTTACAAGAGAAGAAGACCTAGCCTTTCTCCCATGGAGCATCTGGTGGGTTGGAACTGCTAACCTTGCTGTCAGCAGCCCAATTCAGAATTCATTATGCCACCAGGGTGCCTATGATTGGAAAAGAATAAGTATAATTAATTCTTTGTTTGTAGATAATATGATACTGTATATAGAAAATCTGAAAGAGATCACAAAAAAACTTTGAGATATTAAAGAAATAGCAGGGTATAAGGTCAATAACCAAAAGTAAATTGAGTTTCTATACAACAGCAATGAGAAATTTGTAAGCTAAATCCGCAAAACAATTCCATTTATAATAGCACATAAGAGAATAAAATACCAAAGAATAAATCTAACCAAGATTGTGAAGTAATTATACAATAAAAAGTTAGAAAACATAGATGAAAGAAATTCAAGAAGATTAAATAAATGGAAAAATTGGAAGAATTAATGTTGCCAAGAATCCCCAAAGCAATCTATAGGGTCAATGCAATCTCAATCTAAATCCCAACAGTGTTCTTCTTTCTTAGTCCCCAATAATCTTCTTAGAAAAAAAAAAAAAAGAATCTTCAACTTTATATAGAAAGGTATGAGGCCTGGAATAACTACACAAATGCTAAAAGAGAACAAAGTAGGAAGGTGTATACTTCCTGGTTTTAAAACACCCACTCCAGCTATACTACCTAAGACATTCTAGCAAGGGCATAACAGGAAATACATAGGCCAAAAAAATAGAATTAAGAGTCTAGAACCAAATACACACATCCATTATCTAGGGGGCTGAGTTCATTTGATGCCCGGGGTAGGGGTGGGGTGGGGAGTCTCTTCAATAAATGGTGCTGAGAAAATAAGATTATTCAATGCATAAAAATGAAATAAAATCCTTGCTTCATAAAATACACAAAAATAAATTTAATAAATTTAAAATGAATTAAGAGCCTACGTGTGTGAACAAACTAATCTACCAGAGGAACAATCAGGAAAAAAATAATAAGAATTATGTTGTACACCATTAAGAGGAATAACATAGGAGTGATTGAAATTCCAGAATAGGAAGGGACACCAACACATGTAGGGAAATTGCCTGAGTTGTTAGAAGATAAATTCCCTAACATCATAAAAGATAAGATGTACATTTACGAAACTGGATGGATTCCCAACAAGATAGGCCCCAAGAGAAAATCACCAAGCCATAATCAAATTTTCTAAACCAATGACAAAAGAATCCTGAGAGCAGCATAGGAAAAATTACCAACAAAGTGGAACAAATAAGAGCGTTTTGACTTTTCAGCAGAAACCACGCAGGCAAGAAAGCAATGGGTTGCCATATATAAGACACTGGGAGGGGTGGGGGGAAACTTGCCAATCAAGAGTTGTATGCCCAGGAAAATTGTCCCTCAAATCTGAACAAAATTAGTACATATCAAGATAAACATAAATAAAAGGACTCTGTAAAAATCACACCAACTTTACAAGAAATAGAGAGACAGAGAGGTAACTGTGGAAAACAATAACCCAAATAAACATCCATCTCCAGATGCCAATACAGATATAAATACCGTATATATTCGAGTATAAGCCGACCTGAATACCAGCCAAGGCACCTAATTTTACCACAAAAACTGCATTTAAAATGTGCTGAAGAACTCGGCTTATACTTGAGTATAATATAGTAGATGTAAAATAAAATAAACCTATAAAACTGAAAATAGGAATCATAGATATCAGTTTGTAAATAAGGAAAATCCAAATTAACAGAGGGATTAAGTGTAACAAAGTTTTTCCATATGGAGAGGAAGTCAGGATGATTTCAAGAAAGAATAGACCATTTTAAACCTTAGTAAGAAATTAATAAATTTCAGGGTAACCTCAAAGAAAATTAATAAACTTTCTCTTCAAAATAAAAAGTAAGGATATCATAAATATTTAGTAAAAACAAATACAACAGCAATGTAGGAAATGACAAGAAAACCTGAAAATGAAATCAAGTTAGCATAAATAAATTGCATAGAACAAAGACACCAGTAGCAAAACAAACACACACATTGCACACAAATAATTTTACAGCAAAGTGACAGCAATATATTTATACCTATCTATAATTGCACTGGATATGAATGGATGAAATATACCAGCTGACAAAGTAGCAGGATGGATAAAAAACAGGACCCATAAATATGCAATCTACAAGAGACACATCTTAGACATAAAAATAAAAATAGGCTAAAAATAAAAGAATGGAAAAACAGTATATCAAGCAAATAGCAATCAAAACAGAGTAGGAATGGCAAGATTAATTTCTGATAAAAGACTTTAATGCAGAACCAGCATAAGAGAGACAAGGAAGGACACCAAGTAATGAGTCCATTGAACAAGAGGACAAAGCTATAAAAAAATCTATGCACTCTATAAAAAGGTTTCAAAATACATTAATCAGACTCAAACAGAATTGAAAAAGAAATAAACAACTTTATAACCCTAGTAGAAGACTCATATACCACTTTTTTTTTTAATGAAGAGAAGAACTAGGGAGGGAGGGACTCAACAAAGGTACAGAAGAACTAAACACTACCATAAATTAACTTGATCTCATAGACACATACAGAACATTCCAACCCAAACAGAACAATATGCATTCTTTCCAGTGTACAAGGGACATTCTTCAGAATAGGCCATTTACTAAACCAAAAAGCATGACTCATTAATCTGAAGACATGGAAATACCACTAAGCATCTCCTTAGATCACAGAGCTATAAAATAAAGTTAACAATAAGAAAATCAAGGAGAGCCACCACCCCCCACCAAAAAATATTGAAACTTAATAGTACCATGCTTAAAAACTACCAGGGTAGTAATAGAAGAAATAAAAAGGAAAGCAAAAAATTTCTTGAATCAAAGAACAGAAATATAATATACTAAAATCTCCGAGTCACAGAAAAACCAGTACTCAGAGGGCAATTTTTAACAATAAACACAGACTTCAAGAAAGAAAGAAAAACAAATCAAAATGAACATCTTAATGAGTATCTACAAATATTAGAAAAAGATCCAATAAATAGACATAGTTACAATAGAAAATAACAAAAATTAGAAAAGAAATAAAGGAAAAGGAAAACTAAAAAGAATCAAAATTAAAAATTGATTTTTTGAGAGGATTAACAAAATTTATAAATCTAATAAAAGAAAAGAAACATAAGATGAAAAATATCATGAATGAGAACATGGGTAATATCACAACAGAACCAGCTGATATACAAAAGATTACAATACTATGAAAAACAATACTATACTTCAAAAAACCCAGAAGAAATGCACAATTTTTAGAAACAAACTACCCATGTAAAATAACACAGTCTGTAGTAAGAAAATTGAGCAGACCCATAGTAAACGAAAAAAACCAGATCATTAAAAAAATAGTATTCCACCAGAGGCAAAGAGTTACCAAAAGCAGCTCGGAGGCAGAGTAAGCTATTGGGTGGTGGGTGAGTGTGATGGGGGTGGTAATGGTGTCTGTTAGTAGTTTAAGTTGTTGAATGCAAAATTGTTTAATAATTTTCATTATGAATTAGGTGGAGGGTTACATTTCAGATCATCAAACAAGCAAAACAAAAACCCCTAATACAAAAAGTTTGAGCCCAGATTGCTCCACTGGCAAATTCTACCACAGGTGCAGAGAAGAACTAATACAAATTATACTAGAATTATAACAATTATTATTATTATACCAATTATTCTAGAAGATCGAAAGGGATAAAATACTGCTGAAATAACTTTATAAAGCAAACATAATCCTGATAGCTGAACCAATGAACCAACTGAATTCAAATTCACTGCCACAGAGTTGATTCTAACTCATGGCAACCCTGTAGTGTTGACATGGTTAATTGCCCATGTGGGTTTCTGAGACCATAATTCTTTACGGGAGTAGAAAAGTTCAACTTTCTCCCATGGAGAAGCTGGTGGGTATAAACTGCTGACCTTGGTGTTTGAAGCCCAGTGCTTAATGACTGCACCACCAGGGCTCCTCAGTACTTTCTAAACCAAACAAAAACAACACTAAAAAATAATTGGACAGTCATAATTAACCTAGACACAAATATTTTCAACAAAATGCTAGCGAACATAGTCATACTGATTGACGTGCAAGGCATTTGACAAAGTGCAACATCTATTCCTCATAAGAATACTCAACAAAATAAAAATAGAAGGGAAACTGATCAACATCTTTAAGGGTATATACACCAAGCCAACAACCAGCATTAATCTCAATGGATAAAAAGCATTTCCTTCGATACAGAGAAGATTAGCCTGGCCCCTGCGCAATGATGACATGCAAATTCATGTAGCGTTCCATTAAAAAAAAAAAAAAGCATTTCCTTTACAAAAGGGAACTAGATATAGATGTCCTTTATTACCACTCCTATTCAATGATGTACCGGAAGTCTTCTCCAGAGCAAGAAGAAGGGGAAATAAAAGGCATCTAAATTGGCCAAGAAGTAAAACATTTACTTTCAAATGGATGATAGGATCCTATTCTTTGAAAATACCAATCTCAGCAAGAAAACCAGCAATGTGGTAGGACAGAAGAGCAACCTCTGTGATGCCGATCAAGGTGCTGGCCTACCGCCACCAACTGCTGTGTAAAGAATCACATTAGAAGGTCCCAGATAGTACAGGAGAAAATTGTAAAACAAAACTCCAAATCATCAAAGAGACCAGTCTTACTGGTTAGATAGGCGCTGGTGAAACCTCCAATACTATGGCCTAGATCTAAACTCAATGTAAGGCCTCAATATGATAGATATGCCAGTTCTACTCCGATTGCTTATACCAAACGGAACTTGCTGCCATTAAGTCCATGCCAACTCACAACGAGCTATAGTGTAGGGCAGAACTGCTCCTGTGGGTTTCTGAAACTGTTTATGGGAGTAGAAAACCCACCTTTCTTCTAAGGAGCAGCTTGTGGTTTCAAACTGCTTACCGAGCAGTTAGCAGCCCAACATGTAAGCACTACCCACTCATACAGACAGTTTACTTATCATCAAAATTCAAGTGGGAAAACAAAAAAAAGGGTAAAAAAAATTTTTTAAGGACAATAGAAGAACATTTTCCATTACCAAATATATGCTAAAATTATGAACATGATATACATATTATAGTTTTTATATCAGAAGTTATTAACATGAGTAAAATATAAACCACCCAAATAGTCACTGCTCAGTGTAAGAAATAAGATTTCTTTGTGATAGTTCAGGCAATTAAGCAGTGTGCAGTGATTTAACATCACATTGTAGAAAAGCATTGGTAATTGGAAATAAAATAATTACAAAGAAATCAATAGGATTACATTCTAAAGAATTCAATATAATCACAAATATTTGAAAGATATATATAAAATTGTAAACAGGATTAAATGATTTCTAATTATTTTAGAATTTGTGTTTTAATATTTTCTAAACATTTTTAAAATTAAGCTAGAGCTATTATTTTGATATAACATTACTTAGAAAGGTCAAATCCTCTAAGATCCAGTATTCTATTAATCCAAATATAGTTATACAACAGTGAGATTCATTTGAAATATATGTAAAAGAAATGTGTGCTATGTCCCAGATATGAAGGCTCGCCAAAAAAAACAACTATATGTCTGAAGGAAATATTAAAACAAATAGCCCAGCACAGCCGTGATTGCATACAACTGTATATATTCTCTCTGTGCACTGGGCAGGAATTTTTCATTTCATACATCATTTGCAACTTGCGGCAATGATTCTGCAAAATCAGTTCACACCATTAGCACACACAAAGAGAAACACCCAATGTTCTCATTATCAAAAAACTCTAGTGTTTGTGGGTTCTAATATGCATAAATATCAGTGCTCTATCTAAACATATGTCACCCTGATATGCAGGACAGATCACCAGGGCACCAAATAGGGATAATATATTTATAATTAAGCACAGTGACTTTGAAAATCTATAGTCCAAGCTTAACTTGTGTACACACACATACACACATGTATATAACTTACAAACTTAATTATAAATGAAAAAATATATGAAGACAAAATGACAAAAATAATATTCCCTCCAGAATAGCTTAGGTTTTTAATGGAAATCATCAATGATTTCTAAAGCATTTTATCAAAACATTTAATTCCAGTCATCTGATGTATTCAACACATTCACAAAATACATGTCTGATGCATTCACCACTGTGCCTACCTTTCTATTCTTCCACCGCTATTTCAAATACAAATAATAATAACTGGAAAAGAGTAATTCTGAAGTAGTATAAAGTCTTGACTTGTAGAATTCAGGACATATAGAAAGAATCTTTACTGGACAATGAAAAACTCCCAGGAGCAGTCTTCCTGTGCTCCTTCCTCTGGAGACAGCAAAGAAGCTCAGGGATGGTAAATGTCCACTTGAATCTCCCTGCTCTACCTGAATCTTCGAATGTTCCTTTTCTATTTTCTCTTAGGTGGAAAAACTCAAACCACAATTTTCGAGTGAGCAGCGATGCCCATATCTTCTAAATAAATCGCAACCATGGATTCCAACTGACAACATTCCCTCTCTTGCATTGTGCTTCATTCATTTCTGGAACAACAAGGATCCAGAGCTATGCTCAGTCTCCACAGAGAATGTACTGAGGATCAGCCAACTGGAACTCACCAAACTTACTCATCAGTAAGCACTGTAATTCTCAGATTCACGACTCATAATAAGAGTACCTTTTTGGAAACTGAAGATTAGCCCTCCTTATCAACAGAAGCATTAGTAACTAGATTCGTTTTTTTCAAGAGCAAAAACTTAGTGACGAATATAACACACAAAGAGTATCAAAACTCTGGTGACCAAAGTCAAATTCAGGCCAGAATGTCAGAAAATATACATGAGTTTTAGAAACAACACCATTAAAGTTTAAGTTGCTCTTTTTAAGGTAACACATATTCCAAATCAATTTTTCTAAGAAGGCCGAAGGTGGAGGTCCATCCCGGAGTCAGCCTTCAACGATATTCAATGAAACGAAAACACACCAGGTTCTGTGAATAACTTTTAGAATATCCCAGTTGGGATGTGTTTACATACCAATGTAAGGGTTCTTCTTTGATTTAGTCTTCTTTTGGTCTCAAAAGAATTCAAGGATACCAGAAGCCTATAAATATAAAAATGGACAAGTAAAGAAAAGGAAAAGGTTAAGAAAGGTTTGGCAAACAGCAATCCAAATGACCAAGGAATATTAAGAGTAGTAATATATGGTAGGCATATTAAAACCCCAAAGTAGGCACTTTAATTAGGAAGTTGATATTTTTAAATCTGAAAAATCATGAAGAACATAGTTAAAACAAGCCCTGGTTGCTTCTCTGAGCTGTAAAACTGGAAGCACTGTTTTCAGTTGAAAACAAAGTTTGTGAAGTTTTTATCCCAACCCACACCAGAAGTAGAAGATGGCAATGGAAACGGATTTTAAATTAACTTTGTAATGCATCAGTAGTTTAAACACTATTTAGGAAAAGATTGAAATGAGTCTAATTTCCTCATTCATCTCCACCTGGAAAGAATAGAAAATAAGTGACAAAAATTCTTCTCCAAAAATTATTAAAGAAGAGCTCTAGATACAAGATAAAACTCAATGGCAGGCATATATTGTAGACATTTGTGTAATCCTAACACAAAATTTTAAGACACTCACGGGTAATGTGGGTAAAGCATTGGATGCTAACACAAGTCTGGAGGTTCAAAACCACTAGTTGCTCAGCAAAACAAAGATGATTCTGTTTTTGTAAAAATTTACAGTCTCAAAAACCCTACATAGGGTCTCTATGAGTCAGATTCAACTGGCTTACAGCAGTTTTTTTGTAAAACAAATTTTTAAAAAATAATTTTATTGGGAACTCATACAACTCTTATCACAATCCATACATACATCCACTGTGTCAAGCACATTTGTATATTTGTTGCCATCATCATTCTCAAAATGTTTGCTTTCTACTCGAGCCCTTGGTATCAGCTCCTCATTTTCCCCCCTCCCTCCATGAAACAAACATTTTAACATAAAAACTTCCCATGTGAAACCATGTCCTTTATGCAGACATCTCAGTTGAAGAGTGGCTTTGCGTCCTTTGTGCTGTCAGGCCTGTGTCACAGAGGATGTCTGGAACAGCACCCTTACGGTTCCTCTAACAGCGGCAGCAGGGTCACGCAGATGCGACGTCAATAAAGGATATTGGGCACAGAGAATGGAATAATTTCTGAAAATTCGTAAATCTGGCCAGAAAATCACAAACAAAAAGTTACTAGAAAGACCTGCGTTGTCCTAAACCATGTTAAACCAGAGTGAGGCCCTTCAGTGGGGATTTTTGGTCTTATGGCAGAGTAACCTATTATTTTTAAGTAGGGGGATAAGAGGTAAGATAGTAAAAACAAAAAATGGTAGAAAATGGTTCTGTGGCATCTTGTAATTATTCCCAGAAGACAACTGTTGTTTTAGGAGTATAATCAATGAAAATCAATGACTGGTTATTCTACGAATTGTTCATATTAGAGACCACTCATCTGCTCACCCGCAATTTCCTCAATACTTGTAATTCTGCTTATATGAAAATGAATGCTTTTAATTACCAAACCACAACCACAAGAGAACTTGCACATTTCAATGGACATGTGGCATGAAGAGCAAAGTTTAATGAGCTAGATAAATCAACACATTTAAAATGATTCCAGAAATGAATGCCAAATGCTTTACTGGTTCTTCCAAGACATTTTACCCTAAATCCTAGAAGACAAACTCAGGAAACCTTATCGTGATAATGTGTTGCTTTCCACTCAGGTTACAGGCAGTTCCCAATTTACAAATGTGACCCGTCCCTAGGTGCGTCTTTCAGCTGAATTTGTAGGTTATATCAGAACAGGTGCACACAGCTCTTCCTTAGCCGTGGCTTCACCTTACCTCGCCCTACGGAACAGTTAGACCACGGCCTCTACGGCATCTGCGAGTCGGACATGAGCCAATGACAACTGATTTTTGGTTAATCTGAGAAAAAGCTAATTTTTTTCCTGTGACTTAGAAGCTGCATATTCAGCAACGGAAGGTGATTATAGCGAAGTGTGTTCTTTTTTTCCTTTGAATGGGGGTTGATTCGGGAGCCCTGGTGGCACAGTGGATTTTAAAAGGGACAGCCAACCACAGCAGCCCAAGTCCACCAGTTGATCCGTAGAAGAACGATGAGGCTTTCTGCTTCCATAAAGATTTGAAGCCTTGGAACCCCAAAGGGGCAATTCTACTCTGTCCTATAGGGTCACCATGTATCTGAATCAACTCAATGACAATGGGTTTGGGAAGGGTTGGTTCAG